CCGTCAGCCCTGCCCCCAGGGAGCCCGTTCTCCCTGCCCCATCTCGGTTCTCCGACTCTTCAGTCGCAGCTGGTTACTGCCCTGTCCCAGGCAAGGGGAAAACCTCGCGCTCGCTCTCGCTCTCTGGCTGCTCTTCCGCTTTACGGCCGAGTTTGGGGAAGCCGGGAAGGCCGGCGGGGGCCCGAATCGCCATTCCAGGAGAGGGGCTCGCCCCGTCGAGAACGCGGGGGTGGCCCGGGGGAGCGTCCCCATGGCAGCCGAGGTTCCTGCTTTGCCCTGCCGTCAGCGCCCGCGGACGGGCATCCATCGGGACGGATTGGCGCGGTGCCCTTGCGGACTGCACTGGGCGCAGCCGGCAGTCCTGCACGGGGCGTTAGCTCCTCCGCCCGCACCCCCCCCTTCAAAACTGCATGGTTGTTGAAGCCCTTCGGTTGTCCGGGTACAGAATTAACAGGAAGAAAGTCTGAATCCTGAAAAATAACCCTTTTACTGGTAAACGAAGTCAACCTCGCTTTTCACTTCCTGGCATAAATAAATGCATTCCTCTCCCATAACGTTCTTTCTGACTTCCCCGCCCGGCCCGTTCTGTCTTTCTCTGCTAATACGCTCCGTGGGTGGCTTTCCCCCCTGTTCTTCTGAAGCTCTCTAGACGCGGAAGAACTTTAGAAAACTAGGAGCATAATATCGCGACCTGTAATCGCTTGCTGGGGCTGTAAGTATGTGGTAACAAAATGAAACTTTTACGGACAACTGTTTTACTGATTAAGCCCTGTTGCATTACAACATCCCATCTGTTTTAGTTTTGCTTCTTTTTACTTTTAAGACTTGTATTTTAAATTGGTTTCTGATTTTATAATGCTTAACAGCCCTGAGCATTCAGGGAGGGACGACTCAAATATCCGTTAACTAAAATAAATCCAGAGATGCTACTTTGCCAAAAATACTGAATTTCCCATGCAAGATAACTCAGATCTGGACATCTGTGCATCTTGCACTATTCTTACCTTCCTTGGCAAAGATGCAGACAGTCACGCCAGCTACGAGGAAAACAAGAAGCTGTATTTTCATGGTCATTTTTGGATTCTTGTTCCTTTTAAAAAAAGAAGAGCAAAACTAGGTTGTTCAGCTCGGAATAATCCCGTCCCTCCACAGGCGCCCTAGTCTGGCAAAAGTTTCTCCGGGCTTGGCCGTCCTGGCTGCTCTTCCTCTTTCCCGGCCTTGACAGAGTGATGGAAGCAACTGAGAGGGGACTCTGCGTTATCCCGTGTCCTGCCGACTGGGTGGGATTCAGAGGGTCCCAGGGGGCAGGCCCCGCCCCACCCTCCCCGTGATCTCAGGTTTAAAGTTACAGGAAATTTGGAAGGTGCCAGATGACGGGTCCTCTGTGATGAGGCATAAAGACAAGGCAAGCAGAGGGGGAGGTGAAAGGGGACCCCTCCCTCGCAGGCAGGGCTGCTTGTGTTTTCCAGGGATGAAAATGAGCCCTAGAGGAACGTCTCTTGCAGCAAGGTTCTTCTCTGCTTGCTGGCAGTTGCTCGGTTCTCTCCCGCTTGCAGAAGAGGGAAGGCAGCCACAGGAACAGACCGAGGACGGTGTGGCAAGCGGGTTTCTGACCCTGGACTTGATTATCGTATCTGTCCTGCTCGATGCCGTGCAAAGTGTGTAACAAGGATTTTTCTTTCCCTCCGTACCTCGTGCCTTTCAACAATTTGTGCCCTGTTGGAGAACATAAAGAAACCTGGGTAATCCTGACCCTCCCTTTAACCCCCACACCAAAAGGAGGAGAGCATGAGAGTACGTACATGAGTGGTTTTTAATTTTAAACGCAAGGAAATCAGGAGGATGAGGCAGAAAAGAAGCGGTTTCTGCTGCTCTGAAGCTAAGCTGTGCTGTGAACCGGGAATAAACCTGTGTTTTAATTTGTTGAAAGGGATAAGTATCACATGAACCTTGGCCAGATTCCTGGACTTTATAATTTTTGCAAAATAAATCTGTGGCTCTAGAGCAGGGTCCCCAAACTCTTCAGCTCACTGACCCCTTCCTGAAGTTTCAGATTGTTCATCGACCCCCAAACATTTATTATATGAAAATAATTTAATAAATACGACTTTAACTAATAATACTACAAATAATAGGAATAAGAATCACGGATAGTCCCATCGACCCTTGTGGGTCAATATTGACTACTTTGGAGAACACTGCTCTAGGGATAAGTCTGTCCCCAAAAGCCCCTCTGGAAGCCACTGCAGACCCTTCCAGTGCACGATGCTGCCCCATTGTCTGCTTTCACATGTGCAAAGGGGACATTAATTGCACACAGGAAGTGATGAATAGGGCTGTGTGAATAGGCTCTGGTTAAAATTGCTAATTTGATCTCATTTGACTGACGTGAGGCCTTCATGCACGTGCAAAAGCCCTTCTGAATCAGCAGATTGGTTTGGAGGCACCTGATTCGAATCTCCATTGAATCTCTGAATTGAATCTCCCCGCTGCCCTAGGGATAAGGGGCATTTAATTAATGGACTGACCCATTCAGTCCCCGCCAGCTTTTGTCCTTCTTCCTGCTCCTCTTGGCCTCCCATCCACCGCTCAAAGGCTCGCGTGGCCTCGGACCCGTAAATGGGGCGGAGGGATGGGTCCTGTTCGGAAGCCGGTGGAAGGCCTCCCTCTCAGGCAGGGGTGCAAAGGGCTTACTCCTCCGGGCTTACTCTCTGCTCGGGACCCCTGAGACTTGCAGGGCTCCAAACTGTTGGGACTTGACAGTGGGGACACTGGACCGCTGGCCCAGCCAGGACCTCTTTGGCTGGGCCAGACGACCTGGTTGCCAAGCTTCCTGGGAAGCTGACGGAGCACACAGCCCAGCTCCGACTCGGGAAGAAAAGGACCTCTTCCGTCTCCCTGCGGAGTCTCCAAGCCAGTTACTCAAAGCTTGGGCAGTGGTGGAGAACACACAGAGCAGCCTTCCTTGTTGTCCTCTGCTTCACCGCCCCACCTGATGATGAAGGAAATTGTTTGCGTGCGTTCGGTCCCGTTCTTTCTTTTATATCTCTGCCTGCAGAGGAGAAATCTGGGGGAGGAATGTTCATGAGCCTCTCCCTAGCTTTCTGCCTCTCCCTGTGATTTTGATTCCCTTGTTTTCACCCACTGAAGTCACCGGCTCTCCCAAAATGTGTCCCTGGAGAACTCCTGGGGGCTCTTTCATATGGGTTGCTGTTAGCTTGGGTGAGAAGCATCAGCCCTCCTGAGCACTGCCGATTTAAACCGTCTTTCCCACGGAGAGCCCGGTGCATGTGGGCCCTGAGGCCATAGCTCCCACTCCCTGGTCCTGGAAGGAGGAAAAGCCCTTGGGTCACCTTGCAGTAATAAAGCAAATGTCACTCGCAATCTCACAGAATCCTAGAACTGAGGGGTGGGACAGGGCCACAAGAACCACCCTGCCTAACCTCCTGCTGTGGGCAGGAAAACCAACCGAACCGTTCCCAAGAGGGACCACCTGGCCGCTTCTCAAGGGCCTCCTGAGATCCGTAGCGGGACTGTTACGCTGCAGGGCAGATCTGGTGAAACAGGTCCTTCAGTTTCCAAAAAGCTTTCTTCCTCGTCCAAAGGGCTTGTTTTTGTAGCTCATCCTCAGTCTGCGCTGGAAATGTTTTAGAAGTTGTGCGCTGCTGGTGGTGTTGCCATAGGTCAGAAGAACCGACGTCTTGCTGTTTTCTTCCTCTCTCCCGTTGCACGCGAAGGCTGGGTCTTCAGAAGAGAGTGGGGAGGTCCACGTTCAGATTCTCAGCCATGGAGCTGGTTCTCCCTTACAGAAGAGGAAAAATAAACTACAACATTTGGCTACGTTTAGCTTAGAAAGTGTCCGGCTCAGCCGTTGACCTAGCAGCTCTGCTCTCACGTGGCCTAGGCCCAGCTAGTGGTCACCCTGCTTAGCTCTTAAGGGTTCAGTTGATGGTGCCAAACCAGAACATGGGTCAGTTTAGTAAACACAACCAATGAGTAAGGCGAGACATGATGTAAGCGTATAAAATCTTGCTTGTGGTCTGTGGAAAGTTTTTCTTCCTCTCTGAGGCTGCTGAGACGTGGAGTCTTGTTCAAGACGAACAAAAGGAAGGGCTTCCTTCCAAAGCGCGTTGTGAAACCAGGGAGCTCTGCAAAGTTTGGGAAGGGCTTGTGGATGAGTCCCCAGCGCTGCCACTAGAGGGAGCACGGGCTTCGCAGGCCCTCACACGCCTGCTAAAGGAGCCAGAAGGAAGGATGGACGGATGGATGGACGGGGCAGGACAGAGCTGGACATGGGGACCGTCTGTCCGTCTCCCCCTCCTGCCCCCGGCCTTGGTGGCTTTGGTTTCCCCAAGCGGAAGGTTGGAAGGATTTTGAGCCATGGGCAGAGGTTCCCTAGCGCAAAACACTTTCCTTCGGTCTCCCTCCCAAATTCCTTCTCTTTGGGAAGAGGCTTCTGTTTTTCTGCCTTGCGCTTCAAGCCTGAGAAATTCTTCTCAATTTCTTGCAGGAACATCCTCACATTTTCTGGTGAAGCAGCAGTGCTGGGGGGGGGCGATGTTACCTTCTCTCTGCAGCTTACCTGTCTGTACCCACCTCCCAATTTTAACTCCCACCCCACCCCTGGAAGAACTCCCTCCTGACCAATTCTCCAGGGAAGCGAAGGAAGCTCAGCAGGCGGACAAAGCTGTTTTCAGGGAAGGCAGGCCAATTGTTTCCACCCAAGCGAATGAGAACATGCAAGGAAAAAGCAGGAACACTTTCGGGCGGGCTAGTGGCTCCTTGTTTGGAAAAGGATGGAACGCGGCAATGCCCTGAGGCTGCTGTTCGGAAGGCCCGGTCCTGCCCAGTCTGCCTGAGGAGCCTTCTGGAGAAAGGAGAACAGGCCGAACGGACTCTGAATTAACCCTGACTGGCCCCTGGTCACGCAGGCGAGCGACACGTGCCTGTCCAAGACGTTGATTGGCTGCCTCCTTGCCGGGGGAAACGGGACAGACCCCGTGCTCACGCCAGCTGGAGAAAACCCACTAAGAGAGGGGAGCTGGGCATCTCTTGCATGGGGCAGAGAAGGGCACCTGCGTTTCTGACCTCGGCTTGGAGGGTCTCCCTGAGAAGCACCGGGGCCTTGAAAAGAGGAAGGGAGGCCGCAAGACTGCCACTATCTGGCCCAAACCTTGTGCCTGGACTTCCGCCGGATTTGCCGAGCCCCGACCTGCCATCTTGTCTATTTAGAGGCACCAAACAAACCAGAGCCTCCTGCTATTTGTTTTCAGCACTTTAGCTTCTAAGGTACACTTCTTCTGGACATGGAGGTTCCACCTGGGCACTATGGCTAGCCTCCAGAAATGTAATTATTCATCGAAACATCGAATCGGGGGGATGTTAGTGCTCAGCGCAGGGTCCGCTAGAGCATCTCTGACAGATGGTCATCCGGCCTGTCTTTGACGACCGCAGTCTTATCCCCCTCAGTTGTGGAAGCCTTGGGGTGTGTGTGGGGCATGCGTTGGTTGGATGCAGGAGAGATGAAATGTCCCCCCTGAAAAGGACCGTCCCCGATCCTCAGAGCCGTCTCTGAGGGGGACAGATACGAGAACTGCCAGTCCCGGGCGATGCACCTCTGAAAATAAAGCTGCTGATGGCACACGCCACGGAGGTGAGATTCGGTCAACGGATCCCTTCTCCAGACCCGTGTTTGGATTGCCTTCTGTTCCGAAGAGCGGCCACTCCACGGGGTGATCAGGGGAACCGAGGCTGCATCTCTCTCGGCAATGGGATTCCTGTGCACAGCATGAAATGAATAAATGCGAGCAGTCTCCTCCGAGCAGTCTTAAAAGTAATTTTCTTTCCGTGTTATTTTAAAGCATTCGCCGTGCCCACATTCCTGGAGGGCATTCAGCCCATTAACTTGCAGTACTACAAGCAAAACAGAAGACAGCCTGGGCTCCCACCTTTCTTGGGGGAAAGGGATCCAGGGCAGAGATGGAGAAGTGGTGGTCTTTGAGATGTTGCTGAACTATGTCTCCTGGCAGCCCGGCCACATCAGGCGTGACTGGCGTGCTCAAGCAGCCCGGACTTTTTTCTTTCACGGCCCAAGTTGGCAGATTTAAAAAAAAAGCAAAAACAGTAACAGCGAACACAGTTTTGCACTCAATTTTCCACAGAAAGTGCTTCCCTCTAATGGAGACTTTGGTAGGTACAATTTTTCAGAATGCGTTTTTTTTTTTGCATGCAATTTGGAATCAAGAACAGCATTGCAAAATCAGGAAAAGTGTGAAAACCACAGTATTCATTTTGGATGAAACAACTAAAAATGTAAGCTGAACAAATTTCACACCCAACTTCATTGAATACGTGGTTGTTTTATTTTGTGGTTTACTTGTTTGTTTTGTCATTGCACGTGTTAAGATTTTCCCTTCCTTCCCATCTGATTTATACCCCTGATGACACTGCGCATGCTGTCCTGGTCATTGGCAACATGCTTAGCAAAAAGAGCATTCCTGAAACCAGATCTTTTGTCAAGGTGCAGATTCATATCGGGGCCGTAAGGTGGTCATAAAATGAAATGAAATGAAATGAAATGAAATGAAATGAAATGAAATGAAGGAGGACAAGGCTGCTGCACACCGGGTGCTCCCTGCTCCGAACGAACAGGGAATAGCCTCACGGGCAAAGCAGAGGTCCTCAGGCATCCGTTCTTCCTCCCTACAGGTCCAGGAAGCAGTTTGGCACACGCGGAGGCCTCACGAACTGCGCCCACTTAGCATGCAAGGAAAGGCAGTTACGTGCCCCTTGCCTCCCGAGGGGTCTCCCGGTTTGGGGGAGCGAAGTGCCCCTTCCGCCTTAGGGTCCAAATGGTCTTCAGGCACAGACCCCATTCTGTCGGCAGCTGCAGTAGCCAGGTTCAGCAGTCCTTGAAGCGGCCCTTAACAGGAAACGTGGCTGTCTGGGGGATGTTTCCACTGCTTAGCGACTCCCAGTTATAATCCACCTAGCATTTGAACACGAGGGAGGGCTGGCTTCCCACAACGCATTCAACTAGGCTAAAATAGGGTTGAGTGAATTGTAATTCAGTGCGTTGCCCTTGCCTCAGCTTGTTTTTGACCCTAAAACCATCCTGGGATGTATTTACTTGCGCTTGCTTGTCCTGTAAGCACAGCTCCTGTGAGTTGCTGATCCGGTTTTAGGGCTTAATTCTGTGGCGTGAATTCAGATGAAGGGAGCGAAACGTGCGGAGGATGAGAAGAGAGCTCCTGCTGCCCTCACCCGAGAATGAGACGCGCTTCACTTTATTTCTGAAATCCAGGGCCTTCCTCGGTGGCTTGAGGGCAGGGGTGGCCGTCCGCAAGCCTCCCCCCACACCTCCCCCTCACCCCTTCTCTCTTCATCTCCTCCCGGGGTCCCCTCCTTCTCCCCCTCTCCACTTGTGCTGGTTGCTTTCCCGCCTCCTCTTTTGATGGCTGCTATCCGATCTGTGATACGTGATCTCTCGGCTAAGACAACACGCTTCCGACCACTTCCTGCTCTGCTGTCTCACGCGCAAAAGCCGGGCGCTGCCGCTCTGCCAAGATGATGCCTCCTCTGCTGGCGGCGCTGGCTCTCCTTTGGCCGTGCTGAAACCTGATGATGCTGCCATGCTTCCCACCGCTGGTCTTGCTTTGCTCGGCCTTCTCCTTGGGGCACCCCTGCCCTGCCATCTGCAGCTGCATGGACTATCACACCATCGACTGCCGGGGTCGAGGGCTGCCTCACCTCCCCACCCCGTTCCCCCTGGACGTACGGAAACTTCTGATCGCCAACAACAACATCCAGAAAATTCCAGAAG